CCGCATCTCGCCCGGCCGCTTCCGCATCCCGCCCCCCACCCATGGTCGACGCCGACCGCATGGGCCCCGCTCCCCGCGCTTCGCTTTGGCGCAAGACCCAAGAAAAGCAGGCGGCTCAAGCCGCCCTGGCAGCGCAGGCAGCGCAGGCAGCCCAGATCACCAGTCCGGTAAACTACGTCAAGGGCAAGGGCAAGGCAACCACCACTGGTCCAGGCTGGGATCAGGACAACTCCGACGATGACGACGCAGACGCCCCATCTCAGGACGCCATCGGGCAAGACGACGTCGACGATCTCGATGAGGAGGCCGACGACGACGACGACGACGACCTGGGATCCGAAGAGCCCGATACAGACGACGACGAGGAAGCCGTCTTCCTTGAAGCCATGCGTCTCCGAGGCTTGCTTCCGTCCGAACCTTCTGGCAAGGACGCACAAGCCTCTTCCTCCGCATCCACCTCAAAGCGTGTCGAGCAGGAAGAATCCGATCCATCCGACAGCGTGGACGAAGATGAGGATGAGCAGATGGTCGAAGCTACACCAGCTCACGACTCTGATCACAGCGATGATGACGAAGAAGCATCAGATGACGACGATTCCAGCCAAGACGACCAAGACGACGACGACGAAGACACTGAAGAGTACCGCTCGCGTCGGCGCGGCATTGGCACCACCAAACGCTCCTCGGGCTTCAAAGACTGGGCGCGCGCCGCGCTCGGTATCGGCGGGTCTGCATCCGCACCCGCCAAGGCGACAGGCACCGACGCTGCCGACGCTGCCGACGCTGCCGACGCCAGCGCGCCCGTCGATGACGACACGGCGTACAACCTCGAGCCCGTGGGCGGCTTCAAGATCAAGGTGGGCGATCTCATGCCCAGCGACGGCGTGGCACGCGGCCCGCTCGGGCGCGACGAAGAGAGTGTGCGCTCCACCTCGGCCTTTGCCGCCAAGCACTACGCTGAGCTTGAAGCGGCGCTTTCCTCCGACACTTCCACCGACGCGCCCAAGCCGCTGACGCACGTCGAGGTGCAGCGCTCCGAGCAGCTGACCGCCTCGCGGCTTAAGCTGCCCGTGGTGGCGGAGGAAGAGACGATCGTGCGCACCATCATGCAGAACCCCGTGACGGTGATCTGTGGTGAGACGGGATCGGGCAAGACGACGCAGGTGCCGCAGTTCCTCTACGAGGCCGGATTCGGCAGCAAGGGGAGTCTCAATCCGGGCATGGTCGGCGTCACCCAGCCACGCCGAGTTGCGGCGGTGAGCATGGCGCAGCGCGTCGCGTCCGAGCTCAGTCTGCCCGCAGACCGCGTGTCGCACCAGATCCGATACGACGCCACGGTGAGCGCGGACACGGCGATCAAGTTCATGACCGACGGTGTGCTGCTGCGCGAGCTGGCGGCCGACTTTCTGCTCACCAAGTACAGCGCCATCATGGTGGACGAGGCGCACGAACGCAGCATCAACACCGACGTGCTCATCGGCGTGCTGAGCCGAATCGTCCGGCTGCGCGAAAAACGCTGGCTGGACGGGGAGAAGGACGCACGCCCACTCCGGCTCATCATCATGAGTGCCACGCTGCGCGTCGCTGATTTTACCGAGAACACGACGCTCTTCACCACCCCGCCGCCCGTGGTCAACATCGACACGCGACAGCACGAGGTCACGCTGCATTTCAACCGCAAGACCGTGCAGGACTACATTGGCGAGTCGGTGAACAAGGCGACCAAGATCCACGCGCGGCTTCCTCCCGGTGGCATCCTGATCTTCCTCACGGGACAGCAGGAGATCACGAGCGTGTGCCGCAAGCTCGAGGCGCGCTTTGGAAGCCGTGCGATCGAACGCAAGAAGCGCGAGCGCGAGCGCGTCCAGAGCCGCACCGGTCGCCGCCGCAACAGCATCGACGAGGACGAGGCTGCGGACGCGGACGCCAAGATCAAGATCACGGCGCGCGATGCGGATGTAGAGGCGGAAGAAGTGGATCTGGGCGTGGACCGCGACCTTGCTGCTGATGTGGATGATGGTGCTGCCGATGCGGACCCGGATGCGTTGGACACGGACGATGAAGCCGATGGAAGCGACGACGACGCACTGCCCGACGAGCTGAAAGACGACAGTGAAGTGCCGATGCACATTCTGCCTCTGTACTCGCTGCTGCCTACGGACAAGCAGATGCGCATCTTTGACGCGCCGCCCGCCGACGCGCGGCTGGTGGTGGTGGCGACCAACGTGGCCGAGACGTCGCTGACCATCCCCAACATCCGGTATGTCATCGACTGCGGCCGCAGCAAGGAGCGCAAGTACGACCTGACGAGCGGCGTGCAGTCGTACGAAGTGTCGTGGATCAGCAAGGCGTCTGCCTCCCAACGTGCGGGTCGAGCGGGTCGTACGGGACCCGGCCACTGCTACCGGCTGTATTCGAGCGCCGTGTACGAGGAGCACTTTGCGCAGTTCTCGCGGCCGGAGATCCTGCGCACGCCCGTCGACGGGCTGGTGCTGTCGATGAAGGCGATGAACATTGACAATGTGGCCAACTTTCCGTTCCCCACGCCGCCGGACCGCGTGGCGCTGCGCAAGGCCGAGCAGGTACTCACACACCTCGGAGCCCTGTCTGCTCCCGCGGTGGCGTCGGTGAGCGTGGGCAAGGGGTTGCGCAAGGTGCAGCATGCACAGGTGACCGAGCTCGGGCGCACCATGACGCTGTTCCCCGTGGCGCCGCGGTACGCCAAGATGCTGGCGCAGGGCGAGCAGCACGGGTGTCTGCCGTACATCGTGGCCATGGTGGCGGCGCTGAGTATCGGGGATCCGTTCATCCGCGAGCAGCTGCTCGACGAAGAGTACGGGGACCGCCGTGCGCCCAGCTCATCAACGGCGGAGGAGGGGGACGACTACGACCGCGCGTTCGGCACGATGGACGGCGACGAGGAGCTCGACGCCGAGCTGCGCAACGTGACCAACGCCGAGCTGCTCGACAAGGAGCGGCGCAAGGCTCGCCGCGCCAAGTACTTTGCGACCATGCGCAAGTTCGAGGCGCTCGGCGCGGGACTCTCCGACACCTTCCGGCTGCTGAGCGTGGTGGGTGCGTACGAGTACGCCGGGGGCAGCAGTGCGTTTTGCGACAAGAACTTCCTGCGCCCCAAGGCGATGGAGGAGATCCACAAGCTGCGTGCACAGCTGTGCAGCCTCATCGGCGGCACCTTCCCGAACCTCGCGCGCGGCCTGGCTGATCCCAAGCTCAAGCCGCCGAGCGAGGTGCAGCTCAAGGTGATCCGGCAGTTGCTGGCCGCGGCGTACATCGACCAAGTGGCGGTACGTGCCGATTTGATCTCGAACGAGGGTGCGGTGGCAGCGTCGGTGGCGCACGCGGACGAGCGGACGGATCAGATGCTGTTCAAGCTGCGCACCAAGGGCGGCGGCGATCGGATGCAGTCGACGCGCGGCGTGCCGTACAAAGCCATGGGCGTCGCTGGCTTCGCGTTTGTGCATCCGACTTCGGCGTTTTACCACAGCACGCCGCCCGCCTGGGTGGTGTTCGGCGAGGTGCATCGCAGTCAACCGCGCGTGGCCGCCGGTGGCGAGGACGCGCAAAAGGGAACGGTGTGGCTCAAGACACTGACCAAGATCAACCCCACCTGGCTCACCACGCTGGGCCGCGCGCTGTGTACTTTCAGCAAGCCCGTCCCGGTCGAGGGGGGTGTGGAGGGGGTCAAGGCGAGCGTGCAGGCGGTCAAGGCGGGCCAGGCGGGGACGAGGGAAGTCGTGGTGACCCCGACCTACGCGGTGGGTAGCGAGAACGACGGTCTGGCAGGCGGTCTCGGTTGGGCTCTACCCGCACTGCGTGCTCAGCAGAAGCTCGTCGATGGTCGCTGGATCCTCCTTCTTCCCTGATCAAGTTTGACTGTTACGATTGCATTTACTTCCATTCGTCGGGTTGTTTGCCCTCGAGCACGTACTGACCCTCTGGATCAAAGGTGACGTTTTCTGCATCCCTAATGGCGCCCTTGATGTACTTTGTATGGCTGCCGTATGCCAGTAGCTGATTGGACTCTTGATGCAGCAACTCGACCCTTGTGAATGCGAGAGTCTTGCCCATGCTGATGAGATGGGCCTGTACATTGATCGTGCTTCCTGCAGTGCCTGCAGTCTTGACGTAGGTGGTGTTGATATCCGTGCTGACGCCCGTTGAATAGAGGCCCTTGGAAGCGATGGCTAGGGATCCCATGGTATCGGTGAGTGTGGCGATGCATCCGCCATGCAGGGAGCCGAGGCGGTTGACGTTGTGCTTGCCAATGGTAAACGTGCCTGCCACAAAGCCCGGTCGAGCACTGTTGATCTTGAGTTGGGGAATGGTGACTGCATCGTGACCCGAGAAGGACTGGAACGAACGACAGATGCGCTGCACGAAGCGCAAACACGCCGAGGGTGGAGTGACCGTCATTATCGTTGCACCGAGCCAGGAGAGGGATTGAGAGAGAGATGGTGTCTGTGCGCCAACCAAGGCGCGGGCGGATCGGGTCGATCAAAAACAGCGCGAAATTGGCCGATGCGGGCGTACAAAGCTTCGGTTCGGCAGAGGCGGTGATTTGCGCGCGCGTCGACGTGGGGGAGCCCAACCCATCCACCCCTCCCCTCCCTTGGAGCCTCAACACTGCAACCCACAAAGCCGCTTCCAACCCACACACTCGGTCCAAACACTGCATCTGCTAGCAGTCAAGCGGTGTGGTGTGGGTACAAGTGAAGAAGAGGAGGCAGGGTGGTGTGGGTGAGTGCAGAGACGCGCGTGGGTAGGCGCTGGATTTTCCCCCACGTTTCTCTCTGTACGACGTTGCGGGGGAGAGAGGGATGCGCAAAAGTGCGGAAGCTGCGCACCATGCCGCACGCCTTGTGCACCCCCCCACTCTCTCGGTTCGTTGTCCTCCCCTCTTTTGCCTGCCCCCCGCGCAACCCCACTTTGCCGCCCCGCGCGATATCGCCACGACAACCCTCCCCCCCGCTTCAAGGATATATACCCGTAAGCCCTGTTTCCCCTGTTTCTCCTGCCTCCCTCTCTCATCATCTTCCCATCCCTCGCACCTACTGTTCGGCAACGATGACACAAACCACCAACGGATACCAGGCTGCGCCGCTCAACGGAGGCGTGTGGACGCCACTGGCGACACCGTTCCTCGCGGACGAAGAAATCGACTATGCCGCATGGAAGACGCACGTCCTCCGTCTGGCCGGTTCCGGCTCGGGCCTCGTCATCATGGGCACCAACGGTGAAGCGATCCACCTCTCCACGCCGGAACGGTTTGAGCTCGTCCGCTCCGCACGCGAGTACCTCGCCGAAGCCGGTCTCTCCTCGACCCAGATCATCGCTGGTACAGGCACGGGCTCTGTCAAGGAGACGGTTGCCAACTGTCGCGATGCGGCCCGAGCGGGTGCGGATGCAGCCATCGTGATCCTGCCCGGCTACTTTGCAGGCGCCATGGCCAAGGACCGTTTTGCCGTCAAGCAGTTCTTCACCACGGTGGCCGACCAGTCACCCATCCCGGTGATGGTGTACAACTTCCCCGCCTGCGTCGGCGGCGTCGACCTCGACTCGGACCAGCTCATCGAGATCGCCCAACACCCCAACATCTGCGGCACCAAACTCACCTGCGCCTCCATCGGCAAGGCCTCTCGCGTGGCGGCGGCCATCACCAGACCCGGATTCCACGTCTGGAGCGGCTTTGCAGACATCATCATCCCCGGCATGATGGCTGGCATGAACGGCGTCATCGCGGGATCGGGCAACATCATCCCCCGAACCCTCGTTCATCTCTACAACCTCACAAAGCAGGCGATCGATGAAAAGGACTGGACCAAGTTGCAGCAGGCTCAGGAGGTGCAGAAGATCGTCAGCCACGCTGACTGGGTCCTGTTCAAGGCAGGGATTCCGGGTACCAAGGCGGCGCTCGAGAGGTGGTACTACCCCGCAGGCGTGTGCAGGATGCCCCTCCAGCCGGCAAGCAAGGAGGTCAGAGCAATGCTTGAGGCTGAACTCCAACAGGCACTCGAGTTCGAACGCCAGCTCGAAATCAAGGCCAACGTCACCCCGGCCAAGCCCTAACCTGTTGCCTTCCTGCCGCACATCGCACCAATGCAATGCAGACTCGTTTCCCCATGCACACATCTCTCGAGTCGAAGAATACCGATTCCAGTCATCGGAATGGAACGTAGGCTAGGATTGCAGACGTGTCCAAACGCGCTGGGCGAGATCGAGGAACGCCGTTCGGATGAGATTGTCCTGTACCTGAGTCTTGCCGTCCGCATCCACGGATTCGAGTGTCTTCCGAAGCGTCACGGGTGTGCCCCTGTCGCCTCCCGCACTCACATGCGGCTGGAGCGGAATCCTGGCGAGCACCTCGATCTTCTGCTTCTCCGCATACCGCTCCACCGCCGCTGCATCACCAAACAGCTCGAACGCGCGACCGGTGTCGGGGCTGATAAAGTGGCTCATGTTGAGCACGAGCCCGGCGACGGGCACGTTGGTCTTGCGAAACATGGCCACGCCCTTGCGCGCGTCGAGCAGCGCCACTTCCTGCGGCGTCGTCACCACCAGCGCCGCATCCACCTCTACCAGCTGCGCGAGCGACAGAGCCACATCGCCCGTCCCCGGCGGCATGTCGATCACCAACACATCCAACCCACCCTCCTCCCCACCGGTCCGCGCCGCGTGAGGATCCTGTCGCCAATCCACATCGAACAACAACTGCTGCGTCGCCTTCATCACCATCATCCCCCTCCATGCCACCACCCGCTCCTCCTCCCCATCCGCGTCGGCTCGTGTATTGCCTAGGAGGAACCCCATCGACATGCACCTCACACCGTGGCTGGTGAGTGGGATCAGCGCACCGTCGCGCGTGAGCTCCGCCTCGCCCATCCCCTCGAGCCCCATGAGCTTGGGCACGCTCGGCCCAAAGATGTCCAGGTCCAGCAGTCCCACCCTCAGCCGACGCGTGCCAGGTAGTTGCGTCAGCGCGAGTGCCACCGCGAGGTTCGACGAAATTGTGGATTTGCCCACCCCACCCTTGCCGGACGAGACGCACACGACGTGCTTGACGTGTGGGATGCGGCGTGGTTGCGGCGGTCCACCGCGGCGTGGCATGGTCGGTGGAATGCGCTGGTTGTTGCGCGGCAGCCCGAGCGGGTTCTCGTGCGAGCGCGAGGTGCTTGTACTTGCCAGTGTCCGACGCAATGGGCCGGCGAGCGGGATGGCGGTGCGCGATAGACCCACGTGAGTGAAAGGCACCGGGGCCACAGTACGTGCCATACCACGCCTTGTTGTTTGCGCCAACATGCCGAGCGTGCAGAAGGTGGAGAGAGAAGTGAGGATAGAGGACAGCAGAGGAAGAGAAGAATCGCAGCCTGTCAAAATGACAAAGAGCGCCTGTACGACTTCCGAGTGCCGAGCGCGCCAATTGCAGAGCTCAGCCTCCACATTTCTCCTCTCTGTGGGGGTCGTACAGAGTGCATGTTCCCGGATGGCCATCATCACCTCAACCCTAGAGACCGTCACTACAAGCTAGCCTTATTCAGACACTATCGAAGTGGCCTGAACCCATGACGAAGACTGCGATCACCTTGCACCGCCCATAGCCGCCGCCATGGCGCCTCACAAGCGCTCCAACTCGGCATCGTCCAATCCGGCAACCCCCACCAAGAAGCTCAAGGCGCCGCACCAGTCCGCGCTCACCTCGTTTTTCATCAGCCCCTCCGCCGCATCCAAGCCGAAGCTTGCCGCTGAACCCACCTCACCGATATCCGAGACCGCCCGAGGAAAGCAAAGGGCCCAAGTTGGGGACGTTGTTTTGGCTGCAACGTCGCAGGAGGAGAAGGATGCGCAGTTTGCCGCCGAGCTTGCGGCGCAGGATGCTGGCGTTTCGGTGGAGGACCACCGAGCCCGTATGAGAGCTGATGAGGATATGGCCAGGCGGCTTCATCTAGAGTGGTCCGGAGACCCCGCGCCTAGCGACGGCGCTGCTGCAGGCGCCTCGAAATTCGAGCCTGCTTCTCACGCGATGGATGCTTCGGCGCCGCCTTCGCCATCCAAGAAGCCACCATCAGCGGCCAAACCAGTCGATCTCGTCGCCTTGGACGCAGCGATCGAGGCGATTCCACTTGGCGACGACATCTTTGTGTACGACCCTTCGGCGGTCGATACATCTGCGTGGCCGCATGTCGCGGGCAAGCACGGCGAGCTCGTACCCACAACGCCGTATGCGCTGCTGACGCACGCGTTTGTGCTCATCTCGGCCACGCGCTCGCGGCTGGCTATCACGACGCTCCTCACGAATCTGCTGCGCACGGTGCGCGCGCACGATCCCGATTCGCTGCTGCCGACGGTGTACCTGGTGAGCAACCACATCGCACCGCCGTACGACGGCGTCGAGCTCGGCCTGGGCGGGTCGATCGTCAACAAGGCCATCAAGTCGGTCACGGGCAAGTCGGCGCGCTTCCTCAAGCAGGTCTGGGACAAGACGGGCGATCCGGGCGACGTGGCGTATGAGGCCAAGAAGGACGTCAAGGCCCTCGTGCGTCCGGCGCCCATCACCGTGCAGCGGCTGTTTCAGAACCTGCACAGCATCGCACGACTCAGCGGCACGGGCAGTGCCAACCAAAAGCTCGGCGTGGTCACCAAGCTGCTCGTGGCGAGTCGGGGCGAGGAGACGCGCTTCCTTGTACGCACGTTTATCAGCCATCTGCGCATCCAGGCGGTGCGAACCACCATCGCCACCGCACTCGCGCGCACCTTTGCGCTCGTCGAGCACTCGACAACCTTGGCACCGCCCAGCAATGATAAAGAGCGAGAGCGCGCCAACATGCTGCTCGTCCATCCGAGCGAGCGCAACGGCATCCTCGCCAATGCAACCAAGCCCAAGGAACGCCAGGATCCGCAGCGTCTCGTCCTCATGGAGCGGCTTGCTCGAGCCGAAAAGCTCGTACGAGAAGTGCGTGCTCGCCACCCGAACTTTGGCGTGATCGTACCGTCATTGCTGCGTTATGGATTGGCGGGGCTGTCGGAGCATGTGCCGCTGCGCATTGGCACGCCCATCTCGCCCATGCTCGGCTCGATCACGCGCTCGCTCGGCGCGATGCATGCCAAGCTCGGCGCGCGCGCTTTTGTGTCCGAGTTCAAGTACGACGGTCAGCGATGCCAGATCCACGCCATCTACGTGCCCAGAAGCGCCGGCCCCGAGGCGAGGCGCAGTGTGCGCGACGATACCGCCAGCAGCAACGGCGGCGTCAAGTGCGGCAAGTGGGTGGGCACCAACGGCGAGGTGTATGTCAGGCTCTTCTCGCGCCATCTGGAAGAGATGACTGAAAAGTACCCGGACATCACCGACATGGTGCCGCTGCTCATGGGGCAGCAGCTCGAGGCCGAGGCGCCGGCAGAGCGGGAGAAGGTGACTTCGTTCATAATGGACGCCGAGGTGGTGGCGATGGACCTGGATGGGCGGCTGCTTCCGTTCCAGACGCTGGCGAACCGCAGCCGCAAGGACGTCAACCTGCACGAGATCAAGGTCAAGGTGGGCGTCTTCGCGTTCGACCTCATGTACCTCGACGGCGATTCGCTGCTCAAGTCGTCATTCCGCACGCGGCGTCGGCTGCTGCACACGCGCTTCCCGCCGCTGTCGCCGCAAAGCCCGCTGATCGCGCGGTTCGCACACGTGCGCTCGTGCGAAAGCACCGATGCAGACCAAGTGGCCCGCTTCTTCGCGCAGGCGCAGGAGTACAAGTGCGAGGGCATCATGGTCAAGTCGCTCGACCATCACTGGGAGGCACCGCGCCCGAGCCACCAGAACGGTGTCGATGAGCCAGTGGAAGAGGAGGAGGCAGAGGAAGACGAGGAGGACGACGATGACGATGGCGAGAACGACAGCGCACCACCAAATGCGCGGCTGCACAAGTTGGCAGACGTGGTGGACGACGACCTGGCGATGGACAACGAAGACGAAGCGGTAGCCACACTCGAGGCGGGGCGAGGTGCGAGCCACGTAGCAGGCGAGGCGGGCAAGGGGGTCAACGGACGGGGCAAGGCGCTGCTGTCGACGTACGAGCCGGACAAGCGGTGCGAGTCGTGGCTCAAGGTGAAGAAGGACTACGTGGATGGACTGGGCGACTCGCTGGATGTGGTTCCGATCGGTGCCTGGCATGGGATGGGGCGCAAGGCGACGTGGTGGTCGCCGATGCTGCTGGCGCTGTACGAGCCGGGGACAGGCGTGCTGCAGGCGGTGTGCAAGTGCATCTCCGGCTTCACCGATGCCTTTTACAAGGAGCTCAACGTGCGGTATGCGGAAGGGAGCGAATCGTGCGTGCGTGCACGGTACGGCGAGCCGCCTCCGTTTGGCTACGAGGTCGAGACGGGCAACCTTTTTCCAGACGTCTGGTGGCGACCGAGCGAGGTGTGGGAGATCCGCGGTGCGGATGTGACGGTGAGCCCCAACTATACGGCGGCGATCGGGCTTGTCAACGAGGAGCGTGGGCTCTCGATCCGATTTCCGCGCTTCATGCGTCGGCGAGAAGACAAGACGGTGGAGCAGGCCAGCACACCCGCCATGCTGGCCAAGATGTACTTTGAGCAGCAAAAGGCTGCACCGGCACCCGATGCGCGCGACGACGACGACGACGACGAGGCTCCACGCAAGCTTGCCGTGGACGATGGCTTTGAATTCTAGATTGCCTTGTCGTCGCCATGCATGAGCGACAAAATGAGGGGGCCTATGGCTCCGATTGTGCCGAAGCGAGATTGGCCGCGAGCGAATGAGAATGCGACCGCGGCAGAGGAAAGGAAAGCTGCAGACGCGGGAATGCCGCCACCGTCTGCAACGAATTCCTGGGCGCGTGATTGGCGTCTTGACACAAAAGCAGGCGGCAAGGGATTGGACCTCGCAGCAGCTGCCGTCGGAAAATGGCCTCGAGGGACCCTGCCAAGAAGGGCCGCATCGAGGCGATACGGAACGAGGCGACCGCTACATCCGAAACCGATGCAGGCCCGGATCCCCACCTGGTCGCTAGTGGAGAGACCCAGGGGGGCCTTTGTTCTCGTTGTGCCCTCATTGTGCTCGTTGTGAGATCAGCCCAGTGATGCCGGCTCGCTCGGCTCTTCCGAACACACACACGAACACACACAGAGGACACACCCATCGGCACGCTTCCGATCGCAGCGGAGGGCTTCACCGGAAATGCACCGAAAAAGGTGCACGACAGGCGGAGGGGAGAAGCTGCCAATCTCGCGCACTCGACTCGAGCTGAGCATGTGTGCGTGCGTGTGTGCGTGTGGCTGAGGCTGCAGGCGCGTGCATTTGACTGCAGCTCGCCTCAGCCAAAATGTGCTGCGAGGCCAAAGCTGCAGGTGCAGGTGGGGCGCGCGTCGTCGATCCTGGCCTCGATTTTGTCCCTCTGGCTTTGCCCTCCGTGCCTGAGCTGACCTCGCTTTTGTCCACAATGCCAACATTGCAGGTATTGCACTTGCACTTGCACTTGCACTTGCACTTGCAGCCGTTGTGTGACGAAGAGGATGGATCGAGGTCAAGCTTTCGAGGGTGCCTTGAGGACAGGGCGAGGCGAGGCGGTTCACATGCTTAATTGCACTCCGCCTTATCTTTCGATGGCTAGGGTCCGTTCCAAGCGCAGACGAGCTTGCGAGCAGAGGTGGAGAGGGAGGGAGGCAGACCAACACGGGCGGGCGGATGTGCCGTGGCAATCGAGGCCTGCAAAAGTGTCGATTGATTTCTTGAATTTTCAGACACAGGCGAGCCAGCGCGTCCCGAACGCACGGCTCCATGTGCCGAAATGTCCACGCCCACGCCCACGCCCCTGCACTTATCAGCCGCGCGCGCTGCTGTTGGCATTTTGTGAGAGGGCACTGATGCAGTGCTGAGCCAGCTGGGTTGGTTGGGTTGATTGGTTGGTAGCAACACCGATTGGCGAGCGGGCGTCGCTATCTCTATCGCTCTCGACGGTCATCATCGCACATCTGTCCGCTCGCCTCGCTCGCAATTCGGCGCCGCCGATTCGTCTCGGCTCGCTTCCCACGCGCTGTCTTTGCCTTGAGCGTTCTGGGCTCTGCTGGGCTCTGCTGGGCTCT